TCATTTTAAGGTTTCATTAGAAATATCTTTTGTTTATCCCTGATTATTTTGAAAAGACAGAAGCATAATACTCAATTTATTATTGAGTAATTCAAGTTTTAATATCCATCCAGTTTGCACTTATAAATTAATGGTAGCCTACTGCTTTTTTTCAAACTTTTGAAGTATACTGTAAGAATGATACAAATGAAAACAAGCTAAATTTGGAATGTTATCTTTGTGCTTCATAATGCTACTTTTTAAAGTTTATTGATCCTTTTGAAATGTATTATCTTTCACTAGTTGGTCTCTGGAAATTCTTGCTGGTGAGTGTAGTATGTTACCAATTGTGCATTTTAAACATTTTCAATATAGCTGCTTCTGTACATATTTTCAGTATGGGGATAATCTAATATTACTGATACATTGCTTGAAATACCCATAAAATCTACTTGTTAAGGAAAATTCTTACAGAAGATTTTTGAAAAACAAAATAATTTTAAAGGGATTATCCCTGATTGCTTACATTATGTATTAGTTTATCCCCTTCTTTTTTATTTGAATGCTATTTTAATATAGATCCTCTGCCTGATCCAAAAACCTATCAAGAATAGCTGTCTCCATTCACGGCAGTGTCAACAATGGAGCTATTAACAAATTAGTAGAAGCTTTTGAGTGGAAATTTGTAACTTTTGCAAGTTAATATAGGAGTTATCTTGAGTCACCTGTTAGGTAGTTCTGATGTTCAAAGATACACTAAAAGCAATCCACAATTTCATTGCATATTTTCTTTAGCAAAAAGAAATTCAAGTGAGACACTTGAATTTTGAGACCATAATACTTACCAATTGGTTCTTAAGCATTCAGTACAGATTCATTTGTACAAGTAGAATTATGAGAAAACTTATGTCCTTCATACAGCTGGCCTCTTAAGATGCTCTTTTTCATCTCTGCTTCTTTTATATTGTAAAGGGGGCTTCCCAAAAATAACAGGGTGCAACCCTCCATTATTTTTATTTTCCAAGAATGCCTCTGGGATATATGTGGGGTTCAGAGGCATTATGGGGATTACATGTAATACTTGAGCTGGCACTTGCTTTACAGCATGCTAGTTTTTTGTTTTTTTTTTTGCTATTTTAAAATAGTCTTATTAAAGAATTAAAATCAGATTAGTTGGTGGCAAGAGGGACAATCTGTAGGCATATTGTTGATCTTCACCTAATAAACTGCCTATTACAGCTGTGTCTGGAGCAACCTAAACAATCAGGTCATTTTAATCAATGTAGTAGTACGCTTTCTTAAATGAGATTTTTTTTAAAGTAATATGAAATACAAATAATTAAAATACAAAATATGAATAGAAATGTCCAAATTAAGTCTTACAATAATAGAATAACAGAGTTGGAAGGGACCTTGGAGGTCCTCTAGCCCTGCTCAAGCAGGACACCTATACCATTTCAAACAAATGATTATCCAATCTCTTCTTCGAAACCTACAGTATTGGAACACAGTTTTGTATGATCTCTTTGAATATCAGAGTAGAGCTCCTATCATGTAATACAGAAATCTCTTTCCCATTAAATTTATCTTTAATTCCATTGAATTACACACTTAAAGGAACATTTTCAAACTTTTCTGAAAACCACAATAGAACTCCTTATGGAATGTGGGAAAGAATATTGAGTAGCAGGAGTTAATACAAAGGGAAACTGCCATTCCTGGTGTAACACATCTGTTTACTGTAAATATAAAAAGACAGGACACTTCCCCAAAGGCTACATAGCAAGAACAAATTCATCCTATCAAATGATATGTGTCCATCCCTCAATTAATTTGCATGTGGCTAAACTTCTGTAGCTGTTATGTTTTGAAAGTGAGTGTGCTTGCTTTATAAATAACATTTCCAATCAAAATTATAGTTATAGTAGAGTATTCTTTGAACTTGACAAACTATTTCTAATATAGTTAAAATGTTTGTGTCCTGCATTAAAGTCTTATCAAGGACAAGTCTGATTTCTGACTGATTGAAATATCACAGTCAGTGTACTATACAACTTTTCATCAAATGTTGGATATATTCGCTGCCTTGAGTTATTTCTAAAAATAATAAAGGCAGGATACAAATCAATAAATAAAATATTCTTAAAGTATCAAGAATTCTGAGAAAAAGTTTCTGATTCAAATTAATATTTCTCATAATGAGTGCAAGGGGACACTTTGTTGCAAAAAAATTATAGGCAAAACTAGCCCTGATGAAAATGTGAAAAATGCCAAGGCAGTAGCATACATCAGATACAGAACCAATAAAGCTGAATTTGGATCATATCCCCCAAAACACTAACATAAGCTTTTCCCTCTGGCACAATATATCTCTTTATGTGCCAAAAGAAATGGAAGGAGTCATCAGAACTAAATGTTGCAGTACAAGTAAAAGGTCATATTTTGGTGGAGAACCCAGGATAGTATCATGTTGTCTACTTCTTATCAAATTATCAAGATTACTGTTTGGTAAACAGTTTTTTTACCCAATAATGTAGTTTTTTTTTAAAAAAAAATCCCAAGATACTAAAAACTAGTTGATGTACAGTTCATGGAATAAGAAGATTCAGATAACAGGTTTAGCATTAATGTTCACAACTGTTGATTCATCAGGTTTAGCATGCCAGTTCACAACTGTTGATTCATCCCTTCTAATACATGTTGATAATAAAGTGCCATCATTGAGTTGCTTAATGTTGATCATTTCTTTAATCTGAGGCTTCTGTCATTTCTAATCAGAAAATATAAGTATTTAAATTACTGCCATATTTTAGGTTTGCTTCTATAGATAAAAAAAGCAGAAATGGCAGACTATAGGTTAAAATATTTAGCTCAGATTACTTACAAGGGGTCATATTCTGATTTAGTGGGGGGTAGGGACTGATAATATGTGTGTTATAATATACTCTTTGTATATTTGAGTGTGATGTCATGGCACAAATACAGAAGGGCAAAGCTTGCATCATGCCATCATAATTTTTATTCATCATTTTGCTACCATGATGGATAGGACCAGACACCTTTGCTAAGAATCACTGAGAAGGGAAGAACCAATAGTTACTATGTTCACACGTACAAGTATGAGTTCACATTTAACATTCAGTCTTGCTGTTTGTCTCATCCAAACAGCTCCACTATTTGAATATTTTGTCTATCAGATACAACTATTAATAGTCTCTATACATACAGTACTATTTGACAGAAGCAAAAAGATTTTCGAAAACAAAATGTTGCATATACTATTTGAACTCTTTAGCCAGTGTAGAGTTCACCATCTTAATGTAGACAAATAAGTGACTGTTGAAGTGTTTTCCCTTATTTGATTGGCTGTCATTTTCCCTCATTGAATAAGACAATTTTTTAGAAAATGTTCATAATCTGTTATTGCATAATCATTTACACAAAATTAGTGATTTCTTGTCATTTCCAGTCAAAATTGTACAAAATTTTACTTTGTTGTAGAATATTTCTCAGTCTTTGGATATTTGACAAGCTTTTTATAATGTTTTTTATAAGATTCCATCCCTTGCAGCAAAGTCACATCATTCATTACAAATATGAATTACATTAATTGCCTGTGGCTTTTCACTTAATATGAAAAGTTAGATTTGTAAATGAGTATCCTTTATTACCGTGTTTATGAATTTCTGGCTTTGCCCACACATCTTATCCTATTAAAAATACTTCCATCTTATTCCGTGGGTGATTGGACCAGGCAAATTTTCTATACTATTTCTAACCTTGAGCATGTTTTCATCCCTGTCTTTTTTTCTATTACTATTTCTTTTCTCAAGTTGTAATATGAGGGCTTGCTGAGATTTATAATGATCTAGTTGAGAACTTTATAACATGTGCACGACAGAAGACAGTATAGCATCATCCTTGATGAAATTCTCTGGCTTGGCTCTGATGCTAGAGATACCCTTGCTTTCTATTAGGCTGATTGGATTTCTTTGTTTACCCAATGCTTTGTTTACCCAATGTTTACAATAAAAGTTGAAAATAGCATGCAAAAGTTTCCTGTTTGACATTTGCAGTCAGATACTTTCAGGCAAGCAACATCATTGTAAATATGTAAATAATGTGAAGTAGCTTCTGATCATCTCTGTTGATGCCTGGGATTTTCTTGTCATTAGATCATTTGGATCATTCTTACAAAAGAGCCAGTACTCTAACTTGTGCTTCGTTGAGAAGTTCAGCTTTGTTGAGACCTTCAGCAATTAAGATGACTCCTAGATTTATGTATGAGAAATCCAGCTTATATGTCATAACATCTGTTGTTTCCAAAGGAACAGTTTAGAAATTTCCTCATTTCTCTTTAAAATGTCATAGACCTATAACTTCAGGATGGACAGTGAAATGTGTGTTTAAGGATCCTACTCAGCAATATGAAAGCATTATTTATGTGCTTATGTTTTCAAAACATAATGAGCTTTCAGTATGCTAGATCTGTGTTTTATATGTAAGCAGTGAGGGTAATGTGTTGTGTATATTTTCCCAGTGCACCTTATAGCAGTTTAGGACAGGAAGGGGAGAGTAGGTATTCAGAAATAGTATGGGTAGGGCAACAAACGCTAACCCCCTCCTTCCCCAGACTTACTCCACTTTAGGATGCCAAATAGCAGATTGTGTCTGTTGCCATGATCTCTGAACGTCCAACTTCTTCAAAAGTAGCATTATTCTCCTGCTGGCAGGAGACTGGTTGATTGGAAGTCTAGAGAAAGCTGCAGTAGGTTTGCCCACTTCAGATTTGGAGCTGGACCAGGACAACTACTTGATCTTGACTGTGCGCTACTGTTATTGCCTATCAGAGTGACTATAATATAGCCTTTTTGAAGGCACTTGAAATATTCATCTGTAGCTATTGCAAGTAGTATACGCGGGCTTTACTAAGTCTCATTCTAGAATTTGCACTGTTTCTAGATGAAGTGCATTCTGTTCCTAATTCTTTCTGGCTTTTTTGTGTATTCATTTCTTTTTAGAGTGTGCGTGACTGTCCCTTCAAAGAGGATGCAGATGATGTGACAGAGGGGAAAAATATTACCTCTCACTTTGAATGGGAGGTCTCAAAGCATTCAGTAGGCTTTAGTGAGAGCCAAATGTCAGCCACACTGGAGTCTACACAAATTCATGAATCAGACTCCTTTTCAATAAGCAGCAAGGAGCAGAAAGAGGAGGGTGCCACTGCTCTTCTTGAGAGCAAGGAAGATCTAAAGTGTGAAAAGGGATTTTACTCAAATATGGAAAAGGAAGCTGAGGATTCTAAACAGGCTGAGGTGGAAATATCTGTAATCCCTGTTTCACCTCCATTGTACCTCCATGAGCAAGAGGAGGAAGCTTGTGGTGTTGAAGAAACAAAATTTATCTGCGAGCCACTTAGAAAGCTAAATGGAGAATATTACAATCCAAATGTTGATCATGAATTTCCTGCTCTCATTCGCTGTTTCCAGGTAGTAAATGTGAACACAGAATATCTTTTGCAAACACCTGTGCTACATTTTCTGAGTCACTTTGCAAACACTGGAGCAAGCATAGCTTTACATATCCATGAAGAAGGATTAAGTTTTGATGTCCTGGAGTAATTTCCCAAAGCTAACCAGTTATTTAATTTCATACTGTCTATATAAATTATTACTCCCTTCTTCATCCTTATCTGAAATAGACATGTCTTAATTAAACAAATTTTTCTTGATTTGTCAAAGAAAGGGAAATACAAAAAGCAAAAGATGTTTAATATATCAGAAAAACTAAGTACTAATTATTAATACTAATGTTGTATTCATTATGACAATAACAAAACAACTCATAAGGTCTAGAATCAACAGATTTGGAAATACCACTTTCCTCCAGCTTATAATTTTTTTTGCTTGCCTGCTTCAGTGTTCCTTATTAATCGCATCTGCTAAAATACCTAAATATGTAATCTGATAATAAGGTGATGCTTTGGGTATGCAAAGGGATATGATGGGCATGTGGTCCTCTTACTAACATTATTTGCTCTTTGAGTTAATTATCAGGTGGTGGCTGGTTTTTCTTTTCCTGCTACTCTTAATACTTGAATATCCATAAATGTTGATTTGGCAGTGATTTGATACAAACTGGTGGACGTCACATTTCAAACTGCAGGTGTTGCCTATGCACTCGCTGTAGGTTTCCTACATTCAATTTAAATTCAACTAGTTTCTGAATAAATATTGCGGCATATAAAAACTCCTGATATTCTTCCTACATGGTACAGCACATATATGGTAGTACATACGTAGATTTCTGTCATTAAATATTAATATGAATAATGAAGTGAATCCATTTCCATTATTTGGCGATCAGATTTTTAAAAATCATGTGGAATCATTGCATTTCATCATAATTTTCACAATTCTGCAAATGAGTGCAAACAACATAACAGTTGTAATGTATAGTTGAGTTCATGATGCATCTATAAATTGCACATTGGAATTCTATTAATAATACTGATATAAGGTGACTAAATGTACTTTACTTTGAAACTATTTTGTAGCCCCCCCTTGTGAAAACTCAGACCGTTACCATCTCTGATGTGTCTAATACTGTGAAAAGTGAAATTCCAACTAAAGACGTTCCAATTGTTCATACAGAGACCAAGACTATAACTTACGAAGCTGCACAGGTAGGCTGCTTCACATCTAGCTGTGTGATGTTATTGTAATATTTCGTACGATTGTTAGAAAATCCAAGAAGTTTCATAGTGCTTATCTAAAAGACTTTAAACATTTTATTTCAGTTGGATGGTTTGTTTCCTGCAGGGAATTCCACTTGTGACAATTGCTGTGAGAAATACCATTATTCTTATCAGAGAAAGTCCTGTTTCTCTGAAACAGAATTGCATGAGCTCCCCCACTGTGGTTCATAGAGCTCATTCTGGCCATGATTGCTGAAAAACCGAGAATACGGTCTTCCAACCTTTTGAAGTGGGAAACAGATGAAAATGATAATATAAGATCTAAAAGGGTGTACCACATTTACAAACGCCTTCTCCAGAATCCTAAAACAACCCTGCTCCCATGCCTGATGAGGCCACTTTGTGGCTATAAGTTTCCTGAAAAAAGTTTTTGAACGAGGTGCTTAGTAGCCAAATGATATCCAACCCTGAACTAGGAGAATTAGGCAAGCCTCTGCTAAGAGCTGAGCTGGCTTACACTGTGATGAAGGAGATTTATGAGTATATTGCTCTCCAGAATCATTTGTGGACAACTGTGGATCCTGGAAACATAAGTAATGGCCCCTGACTAAGAAAAAAATATCTGTCATCTTGGGTAGTTTGTACTCTTAAGTAGAAATTTCCCAGTGTATATTCTCACTAAGGTAGCTTGCATGTTGTTGAATGGTATCAGAAGGATGTGTGGGAAGCTTTTTTCAAAAATCTACACAAAGATAGACTTAAGGGGAAACCATTTTCTTATTATTTTTGTGGCTGCAAAGTGCTTTCCTTCCCCCCCCTCCCCCCCCCCGAGGCAAATATGCTTGGTAAATCTGTGCTCTCAACCTAAATATGTAAAGTGGATGCTTTGGCAAACAGTTTTCCTTTAGACAGAAAACTATGTATACATTCAACAAAAGGAAATTTGTTACTGCTTTGAAAAAAACAGTACATTGTTTTCATTGTATAGCCTGGAATGGAATCTAATAATTGCTACATTTATTACCACAGGGAGCTGAGCAGCTTTTAATAACATATCCTTGAGAAGATGCCATTGCACGAAGTTCCTATTTGTAAACTTCCTATTGGCATCTAATTGTGTACTGGGAGGGCTGGATTAAATTAATATGGCCCTTGACTGATCCAGAATTTTGTTGTTAGTGTCCTACTGTATACAGTAGTTGATTAATAATGTTATCTCTTTTCATTTAGAAGCAGTTTTCAGTTTGCTACTTTTTTGTGAATATCTTGTTTCCTGCCAAATGAGTTACTCATTGTAGGTGGGCAAGGAAGTCATTTATACTTTGATATATTTCTGCCTTAGATTGATGACAGCAGTGGGGATTTAGATCCTGGAGTTCTCCTTACTGCTCAGACTATCACTTCAGAGACTACCAGCAGTACTACAACCACACAGATAACGAAGGTAAAGCCAGTACTAAACAAGTATTAAGTCTCATTGATAAGCTGCAATCATGTCAAAAAATTAGATACATAACTTTCATTTTCTGTGTGTCTTTGTAATCCTTATAGGATTGAGCAGTAGAATGAACAGAACAAAACACACACCGTTTTGTTATAAGACAGTGTTGTTGCAGATTGGAAAAGTGTATGGTTTGATGAAAATTGTGGTTGTTTGAAATCATGTGTAGAGAAAGGAAATAAAATAATATTGTTTTCAAGAGAAGGCTACATAAAGTCTCTTCCCTGGCTACATTAGTAGTGCAGTGGGCTCAAGTTATCCTTTAGATTTACAGCTTTTGATTACAGTTAATGAATATAAAGTGAGAAAAAAACAGTACACTAAAAGCCAAAACTTATGACTTACTCTGAGTTACAAATGCTCTCTTTGAAAGTTTTGTTGCATGCAAAGAACCAACCTGTGTTGATACTTGAAATTCTGGTATTTATGGTGAAGTTGGGAAAACCTGCTTAGCCAGTGTTAGAAGCCACAGAGAGAGAAAAAGTTAAACGTATCTTGTGATATGGAGTCTTAAAGCATGGCTTTGCCTCAAAATATGTCTCCCATTAAAATTGACAATCAAGGAAACTTCAGAGAAATTGATAAATTTGAGGGTTATTGCAATTTTTCTTAGAAGCATTTTTTTTAGTTTAGTTTGAACTTAGTTGAGTTCTGACTAAATACTTTCTATTTCCAGACATATTAAAAAGAATGTTATAGTAACTTTACTTTTAAAATCATTTTTATACTCTTTATAATCTAATTTTACATTCTGTAAAGCAACTTTCCTGTGATTTGCAAGAATGAGACATTTGGTTCACCATTATAAATTTTGAAAAAAAATTGAAAATGATGAAATAATTATAAGAAAAATTCAAAAGATGATACAAGTAGTGCTACCTATGAACTAGATTTTTATTTACATTCCTATTTAATAAACTGATTACATTTCTCTTTTAACAAAGTTAAAATTTCTGTAGGTTTTATCATTTTTAATTATAAAAAAATGTTAATATTTGTCTTCTCATGACAGACTGTAAAAGGTGGAATTTCAGAAACACGAATTGAAAAACGAATTGTCATCACAGGAGATGCAGACATTGATCATGATCAAGTAAGAGACTGTAGTGACTGCTGTGATTATTGATAATGGAACAAGATTTTTTTAACAATAGGAGAGTAACTTTAAATTCAGATTCTGAAGTTGTTTTTGAAGTAATGAAAGTCTTTTAAACTCAGTCCAAATGTTTTTCTAGGTGAGAACAGATAACAAGATACCATTCACAAACACTTAAAGCTGTTTTGTTAAATACAATTAAAATGAAATATAAAAACACTTTGATAAAATATTGCTTTGATAACACTAACATAGTTTGCCTCAAGTGTTAAGCTTGATCATGCTGATTGTAAAATCACAGATTGTGCCCTCCCCCCATCCATAGTATGTCAGACTGCAAATTAAGTTAGGCAGCATAGAAATAATGTGTTCTTTATATTGTTTCTCTTCAGGTTTTAGTTCAGGCCATCAAAGAAGCTAAAGAGCAACATCCAGATATGTCTGTAACCAAAGTCGTCGTTCATCAAGAGACTGAGATTGCAGAATAAATAGTTTATACCAGGTAAGTTTCCTTTTAGCACTACTTTATCAAAAAGTATTAAAACTTTAGTCATAAATGAGGATTGTTACTAGGAGTCTTAAATATGCTTCCTATTCTTAATATCTGTTTATTATAGTTTATTATAGTAAATCTTTACAGGCAAAAACTGCTGCTAAAATATACATATATTGGGGGCAGAATCCAGCCATAATAGAAATGAGAATGTTTATAATAGTAGCCTGTTTCTGAGTCTGTGAATCATATTGTAAATGCCCTTGAAATTTACCCTCCCACTAATGTTTAAAAGTGGTAGCAATGAGTGTTTAAGATTAAATAGGTTGGGTCTGCAGAACATAAAACTTGCAAGTATCATGTCATATGTTATTTCTTGTTGCCTGTCAGGTCTTGTTCCTGCACTATTATAAGCAGTCCACTCACTAATAAATGGCTGAGAGAAACCTATAGTAAATTACATAAAAAAAATTGGGTGCTGCCAGTATTGCCATTAGAAGCAATGCTGAGCATGCTAAAGGGAGCCAAGTTTCAACTTCAGCAATGACCTTTTTACCTTCTCCCTATTTTTATTTTTTATATAGGTCTAATAAAGTCCTAATTTTTCATATCATTACTTTTTAATGTGTACTTTAAGAAAGGGCAACTGGTATGACCTATTCAAGATAATAAAAAGACATTCAGTCGTTTGAGTGTTCAGTCCTGCAGTAGACCTCTCAATCATTGTGGCCATCCATTGCAAGTTATCTGAAACTTGTAGAGAAGTATCCTCTGATAAAACTAAGAATATATTAATTATTCATGTGCTTCCTGGTGCAGTGTTCAGATAATGCGCAACTTGGGAATGAAACCTCAGCTCACCATTTAATTTGAGAAATTGTCTATGTGTTTCTTTTTATGGATTATTTATGCTACAGATTTGTTTCACCTGACATGTTGTTTGATGATGATTTAGTTGTACATAAGGACCAGAATAGGGGTGTTTTTTGTAGCTTGGAGTATTTTCTCTCCTGTTTCCCTTCTGACCAATGCTAATGGTTCTCAACAAGGCACCACTTTTTGAGTGAGCTATCTTGCCAGCATTTAAAGCCTGAGAATTGTTTCATGCACAAGTGAACAAAACTGGGCACTTATGCTTAGAAGCATTCTTTACTCCATGTATTGACAAAGCATCATGTTCTGATTTGTATCTTTAGGTTTTAGAACTATGTTATCCATTGAAGAATTATCCTATGGTCAATTTAGCGAACCTAGTTTTGGGGGAAAGACAAAGTTTTCTGGATTTTGAGTATGCATTGCAACAGACAAGGTTGCCATTTCTGAGCAAACATCTAGACAGAAATCCTCATTTATGTAATAAAAACCAACAATCCTTGAAGGCTACCTTTAGGCATGTGGATTTTATGTATTTAATTTTTTTATCCTATCGTTTTGCAGTTACGTCCTATTATCAGGCAAAAGTAAGAACAAAGATCCAAAGTCATGATACAGTAAACAGCTGTTGTTTAAAGTTAAAATATCTGGTAAAATACAACCTTAACCAAGTAGTTTACCTTGAAACACTTATGCACATAATATAATGAGAACAAAGGTGATTGATCATTATGGATACTTTTTCTCAAATATAACATCGCTATGTTCTCACTTCAGCATTCATATTCTGATCCTCATAATTAGATACATTTGAACAAACTTTATGTATTTAATAACATGTATTTATTTCACATAGCTATAGTAGTACTTACACTTAAATACTGTCCTGTAGTGCTTTACAGCCATCTCGGAATGGTTTACAGAGTCAGCATATTGTCCCCAACAATCTGGATTCTCATTTTACCGATCTCGGAAGGATGGAAGGCAGAGTCAACCCTGAGCTGGTCAGGATCAAACTCTTGGCAGTGGGCAGGGTTTAGCCTGCAGTACTGCCTTCTACCCACTGGCCATCATGGCTCATGGATTTAATTTTTCATAGAAAATGTCTTTCCTACTATGTCACAGCTTTCTCACTTTCATTCAGCAATCACATGAAGAAGGACACTGTCAGTTGTGCTGCCCATAATATGGAATGGTCTTTCTATTGTTGAAGACTTGCTTATTTGTCCTTGATGGCTTGTATTGCCAGCTAAGCCTTATTATTAATAAACTGAACCAATGATATCTTATTATGGTAGATTAGGCTTTTTGTTTATGTATTATATGCTTTTGCATTTTTGTAATTTTGCTATAAAAAGCTTAAACTTTCCAGTCAAGATGAATATTAATCAATTATTTGAAAGTATTATATAATTGATATATAATTGATGCCCATTTACAGAATATCAGGAGTTCACAAACATTTTTGTAAAATACTAAGTGTGTGTCTATTTTCATTAAGGAATTTGTATCTTCCTAGGTGATGCTTGTTTCATTCTTTGAAGGCCACCCAAGATATACCAGCAGAACTACAAAGAAACTTTCGAACACCATGACCTCAAACTTGCCAGATTTATTCTCAATTACACATTTTATCATTTATTGTTAGGAAGTTGTGCTTTTTGATGTTTACTTGGGATTCTCTTTAATATTATATGTCCCTTTTCATTGGTTTTAATATTGTGACTGACAATTTGCCATATTTTACATGTGCTGATGTGCTTTTTTAAAAAATGATTTTTTTTAATTTCCTTTTCCTATGCCATTTTCTGAATCTGTATTATGATGTCAAAAAGAGTACACAGGGCTTATCAAAAAAATGTTGCCTTTAAGTGTGATTCTGTTCACCTTTCTGTTCCACAAGTAGCTTGCGTTCTCTCCTACCTTTTGAATAAGTTACCATGTGGCATATCAGTGACTTAGAAGTAGCCCCTCTTGTCAGAAAAATCACTGTGTGCAAAACTTTAATTTGATTGACTGATCTATAAAATGTCCAGAGTATCCTAACCAGAGCATACTTTGCCTGTGGATTTCCTTCGCTTTTGTGGATATGTCTGTCTTTAGATGCTTGAACATATCCCGAGGTTGTGGTGTTTATATAAGTAATTCAGTAGTTGCCTAGGTTCAGGGACAATGGAAGTTGCTTTTTATACTGTGAATTGTAGAGCTTTTAAATGAATTGTGGTAAGGCATTCAACTCTCATCTGCTCTTTTCTCCCTCCACCTTTGTTTTGCTTTACAGTCCTTAGTAGGTGTTCCTTGTAATTCTATCTGCTGTTTAGCCCCATTAAGCTATGAGACTAAGAGTAATAGACCTTGAACACAATTAAGTTAGGCTATGATTTATCATGTTTTTTCCCTCCCCCCCTCCTAGTCATTTGTAGGTTTGGGTGGAGGGTTTTGTTTTATTTTTTGTTTATTTTTTGTGCAGAGGGGGACAAGAGGCAAATAAAGATTTAAAATCATACATTTTAAACAAAAGCTAAACTTAGAGCTCTGGCAATATATCGGGATAAGGGATATAATTCCTATATAATTGTTAAAAACAATCTGGCATTCCTTTCATGAAGATAGTATTGAAGGCTATCAGTCAGAATAGGGTCCTGTTTCCTCAGTGAAAAGTTATTTGAAGAGGGAATATATTAATTTCCATCAGACAATACTTTTTGCAAGACAATACTCTGTCGTCCTTCTTGGGGGCAACCCTAACCACAGTGCACTGGTGTGGTATCTCTCTCTCTTGTTTCCTTTAGATCATTTAGATCATCAAAAAAACAAACAAACAAGAAACCATGAACAGAGGTCATTGCACTTGGTAAATTACACCATTAGCTTTTTCACTATTAACATTAGAATGAAAGCATAGAATTCCGCATCAGTTGCGGTCCTCAGCCCCTTAATATCTAAGGAATATATTCAGAGAAAGAGCAACAAGTAATTTATGAAAGGGGTCAGTGGGAGTTTTTTTAAAAAAAGATAATACTGACTTTACATTACTTTCAAACAAAAGACAGATAGGACTACTCTTTTTTAAAAAAAAAATACTTCACTTTTCTATGAGTATTGCAACCTGCATGTTCAGTGATTGGATTCCAATTTGAAATTCCCGTAAATTTCAAAAATAGGCCATTACTTATTGGATAGTTCTTTTTTCCTAAAATATGTGAAGGCTTTGTAAAGATACAACAAGAAACAGCTCTACCTTTTCTTAGAAGAGCTCAATTTCCGTAAATAAAAGCTTTCATTTACTATTTGGCATAATGCTACTTGTCATATTGCATGTTCCTTTCCCTCTCAAATGTGAAGTGTTTGTAACATTTTGAAAGTGTTTTGAGATGGAATGCTGTTTGATCAATTTTGCTTTACTATGCTCTGGACATTACATCATGTTTCCAATGAATGCAGATTTCCCCCCCCCCACCTCCACGGAAAATAAACAGGATTGCGTTGTAATAGTATTAATGAAAGTAATTGTGAAAGCAGTAGAATAAGTTTCCTAACAATATTACACTGAACTAGAATAAACTCTGGGCACTTAATGTATTTATTACAAAACTAGCTATTTATTGTGGTAGACAACTAATTGGAACACTTTGGTGCAAAATATTAATATTTCTGCTGCTTTTACTGATGTTTTATTCAAAATATAAAGCAGTTTTGAAAGAATTCTATTACGGAATTCTATTACGAAGCTTGTATTCCGTAGGGTTTCTAAGGACAAGTTTTGCCCTTTCACCAGCTGTAACTGAGCATGATTTTTATACACTATGGATAGCTAGCCAATGATGTTCTGTTCTGTTTAGCTGACTCTTGCATGGAATGTAAATCCCTCATTAAAAGATATTGCCTCTGCAATAATAAGGGGAATGCATTTCAGATTGTACCTCTTCCTGGCCTTCCCATCTATTGCCCTCCCATTTTCAGAGTTTTCTACTCTGAAAGTTGGGAGTCATTGATTCACCATTTTTGTGTTGTGCAATAGATGACTCCCAACTTTCCTTTTTCGGATTTTTAGCTTATTTACTAAAAGTATGTAATAAAATCTGAATAAGTGTTGCATTAGACTGCAATAAGGAAGTCCAAGGTGGGATAGTATATCTGCATTGTGTAATTTCTTGCCTACTTTTACAATAATCAGAAGCAAAACAATGTTCATTTAGCAGTTTGTGTAAATATTTAGGATTATGTTTTCCTAAATATTACTTAGGAATATGTTAGTTTCAAGAAATGCTCAAAATCACAGGACCCGTGTGAGTGGAAAAGATGAAGAACTATTCTAGTAGATAAAAGAATAAAGATTGCAACAGGGCAACAAGATGTATCCCTGAAAGAAAAGTAAGGGTTATTCAAATTTCCTTTTTTTCTTTTTGTTTCTATATATTTATTAACAAGGCAATTTGAATTCAGGAGTTTAATAAAAGTTCTGTTTTCCTACTCAACGGCCAGATCTAAGATTCCCACCTTCCTTTGAGTATACCTGAAGATAAAAGCATTATAAAGCAAGAAAAACTTCACATTTTTGCAGATTAAGTTGATTTACACCAGGGGTGGCAACTTTAAGACTTGTGGACGGGGAATTCTAGGAGTTGAAGTCCACAAGTCTTAAAGTTGCCAAGGTTGAATAGCCCTGATATACCTAAATGAGTGTGCTGTTTTCATGTTATGTTACTCTGCTTCTGATTATTGTAATGAAACATTAAAAAAAAACTTAACAATACGCATATACACACCTTCCTTTGACTGGTAGTCTAATTGTGCAACAACTCTTGCCGGCTTTTATTACCTATTGTCCATAAACTATAAAACTAAACTTCATAGCAGCAAAGGCTGAAAGTGTTTAAGCGTCTTCTTAAACCTCTTAGGAATGTGAATCTTGGGGCTGCTGCCACATGGTGATTATTTTATTTTCTGAAATTCCTGCATACAGTGTGAATCCACTCTCGAAGGAGGTTTCTGTTTACCATCTGAGCTTAAAAATTGGCACTCTTGCTGGTAGCCTTTGTAACTGAACAAGTGTTGTGAGTTTGTTTCCTCCTGGCTACTTATATCCCACAAGTGAGCAATATTTTATTTTGTATAGCCAAGCATGCTAGAGAAATAAAAAAGGAGCTAATAAATCCTTTTAAAATGCATTTGCCAAGGTAATTTAACTTTCCATAGCAGACACAATGAAAATAATTTAGTTTTAGGGTACCAGAGACATGTTCTGAACTGTCTACCATTGATAATAGGGATTTTCATGTTTTGACAAGGAAAAGCATTTGTAGGCTGTTTGTACTCACAATCTCAGAGCTGCCACCATCACCTTAACAGATCCCAAAATAAACCAGCTTCTAGCATTCTCATTTTCTGGGGACCAGCACTGCCATTACTGGAGCAGTAAATAAAATATAGTCTATTTATTTATAATGATGAAATGACTATGCTCCCAGTTATTTCCTTCCCCATTTATGAGATTATCTAGAAACTATCTTAACTGTATAGTAAATGGAAGCTATTTATCTATGAATGTGTATACAGAAGGAAGAGCATCAATATCCAAATTGGTCAAATTAGAAGGGAAAAAAATAGATTTTCATTTGCCAACTATTAAAGTACAAATTAACTTTGGGAAGAGGGTGTTGGGGATTCATAAACTGATTTTTTTCCATTTTCATATAAGGGGCAGTTTTTTTAAAAAAAAATATTCTAATTATGGGGGGTTGGTTCTCTTTTTTACACATTAAATCACACTATTTCACTGCAGATATGAAGGAGCTTTGTAAAAAATTTTAAGACAATTGTATAGAATATTTCGTTCTTTTTAAAAAATAGGAACAGAATAAACAATTAGCAAATCTTTATAGTTTATGTAGTTGTTATTTTGGACTTTTGTAGTTAAAGGAAAATTAGATGTAGCATTTAGATATGTGTTCAATCTTGTATTGCATTTTTCAATAAATTTTCAGGTAAACAAAATGATACTCTTGTCATTTATTAAAGCAGGGCTTTTCAACCTTTTCACCGATTGTAACACTTTTAGGATATGGCAATATTCGAGTACCACTTAGCAAGGTGTCAAAAACTTGATGACCCTTCCCCCCAAAAAACTGTTCAAAGTTGCAATTGCACTGAAATGACTTATGACCATTTTTCACACTTATGACCATTGCAGCATGCCCATGGTCATGTGACATGTATTTGGATGCTTGGCAATTGATTTATATTTATGATGGTCACAGTGTCCCAGGGTCATGTGATCCCTTTTTGCAACCTTTTGACAAGCAAAGTCAATGGCAGGGCTGCTGGTGGCCAAGTGCTAAGGTGGGACTTCCTTCCCTGCCTCCCTCTTTCTCATTCCCATTTCCTTCTGAAGGAAGAATTTGAATCCCCCCTCCCATATTTTTCCTCTTACATATATTCATCAAACAAGGAAAAGCCTCCAGAGACAGAAAAGACAAGCTGCTGAGGAACTAGCTTAAAAAGGTGCATTCCCCTTTAAGAATTAGCTACTGGCCAGAAAGTAAAGTTAAGGAGCTGGCAGCTGGCAGTTAAGGAAGAAAAAAAAAAATGTTAGTACTGGTTGCTGGCTAAGGTAGCCTCCCCAAATGGCTCCATCCATAAGTAAAGGAATGCTACAGGCAAAATCCATTCAGGAGAAAAATACCTCAAAATCCCTTGCAGCAAAACTTACTGTACTGCGAACAATAGCAGAACAATAGAATCTAACATGAGACATCAGCTATCAGCCAAATAGAAATTGACAAACACTCCTTAAGAACCCAAAGCCCACATTGCACAAATCCCAGAACTTCAAAGTCACAAAAGCACATAAGAATCCTTCCACTCTCCATCTCCTTCCCTCCCTCCCTCTGTGCCTCACCTCCAGCCGATGCTGCCTTTCTTCATTGCTGCCTTTGTTCATTCCTCATGGAGGGTGACCCCTTCCCCGCTGTGTTTCTGGCCTGTTTGTTGCTGCCAGCACAGATGGCTGTCACAGAAGTTGTAGATCGGCTCATGCCAGCCTGTTTGATCTCTCCTTTCCCCCCACCTTCTTTTCCTTCGGTGCAGCTACAGCTGACTCCACCTCTTCCCAAGGCTGCCTCTTTTTTTCTCTCTTCCTCTCCCACCCAAACTGCCTCCTTTTATAGCCTCTTCTGTCTCCTCCCCCTCCCCCTTTCTCTTCCGGGTGAGCCAGAAGTGCCAATCCTGGAGCCTTTGCCTCTCGCCCCAGCCACTCCGCAGCTCCAGAGGACTCTCTCACAGTAAGTCCTGCGCTGCGCTGGCTTGTTCCCTCCCCCACTACACTTGGCTGGGCAGGGCCGCATACCACCTGCCATGTGCTAATGTACCATAGGTGGTACACATACCACTGGTTGAAAAGCCCTGCAGCTCTACTTTGCCCAGATTATCTGGATTGTAGTTTCTGACATATGTCGGCTGAAACTTCAATTCTTCCAACTGTTTGGTTCATATGCAGCCCCAAATGCCTAGTTTAAGTACTGTTAAACCATGACTTTACTGTGTAACTTTAAAAACAAGCTGTTACTTTTGCACAACATTGGTTGAGCTCACACACTGTGGTAAAACAAACTGTTAGTTCATGTTGTATGAACCCAGCTTAGTAAGTCAACATGAACATTTATCATATTGAGAATATAACCTTTGATAGCAATCTGTGGAAAGAACAAGAGTGAGCAATGAAACCTCCAGCCAATCTGCCTTGTGACTATGAGAATCTTGTCATCTTGCTTCAAGTAGACCTCAGCCCTGTCGTATGTCCTTAATGCCCAGGAAATTCCAGAGTCACAGGAAAAGTTATCCTGCATTAGAGAAGGGGAACTTTCATGGCTGCAGGTCTCCTTTGTGCTCATTCGATTCTGAGAATGACCATGAGGACCTCCGGGACAACATCTCAGGTATTGATCCTATCAAGTGATGTGCAGTTATGTGAAACTCAAACAATACTGTACTTATTTGCACTTTTCTAATTGCAAATAATGTTTGCTCTCCTTTGCATTCTTCTGAATGGAAAGCTGCTTTTTTGTATGCAAGTTTTTCCATAACAGGATGCAGAGTCAGGGAAACAGTCCAAAATCGGTGTCTGCTGTTTTGAGCAGTGATTAGGTGAGTGGCCCATTCATGGAATGTGCTTTATCAGCCTCATGTTCCAGTCTGGTGTGTCTACAAATCAGGGCCAAATAGGAAAGTATTTTATGCTGCGGCATCAGCAGAGGGAGCCTATCCCAAACTTTGAAAGTAACCATTTGTCTCCTCAAATGTTTCCCAGATACATTGGAATTACAGCCCCTAAAATCATCTCTGTATTTTTTATATCTATTTGGCATTTATAAACCTCTGTTTTCAAAAGAGGAATATTTGTGTTCAAAGGAAGAAATGCAAATAGTCTGCTAAAATGTGTTGCATTGGACCAGAATTATTCAAAACTGTTGCACTATAAAATTTAGCTAGTAAGAATCTAAGAGCCAAAACATATTGTCATCGTTTCTAATATGCTTCAATGTTAGGAAATTACTTTTTAGAGCTCAATGAAATTTCATTGCCTCAAAGTAAATTTGCTATGGAGAATTCCTACACACACACACACACAC